TCGGCTCATAATTATGGAATTTGAGCTGTAGGCATTTTTAGCTTCCTCAGCCTCTCCTACAACTATTTCATCGCATTAGAACCCCCCAAAAACCTGATTTCTTCCCATACCGGGCATGTTTGCACCACCATTTCCTCATAAAGTCAATATATATATTTTTTTAAATCGGCCATTTTCCCAAAACGCGATTTTTCTCTATATTTTTTAAAATAACTCCACCATTTTTCATCCAATCTTAATGAAACTTTCACAGAATGAATAGAAGATGTAATACTAAAACATTGTATGTTGAATTTGTGATATATGGAATACATTTTTGTTGGCGGTGTCTGGAGTGGATTTTCACGGATTTTTGTAAATTTGAATACTACCTCAGGAAAAAATTCAAATTTTTTTTCTAATTCGTTTAGGAAAAAACCCCCAGATGAATATTTAGATCTAATGTTTGTTAACACGTATGCAAACAAACAATTAATTTCCATGAGCAATAAGTGCGGTATTCATTACGTAAGACATATCTACAAAATCCAATATGGCCGCTGTATCCATGGAAACGAAACTTTTTTTTCTCGAATTTGATTGCTGATTTTAAGACTACTCACTATGCTTGTTATGTGTGTGAAATTAGTAAAATTTGGTCAGCTATTAAGCGAGATACCCTTCAGGTGTAGTCCCCCCCCCCCCTTAAAATACATCATGTACATCTATTATTACAACTACAGTTACGTTCAAAAGTTATGTGTCACGTGATCTGCCCCAGGACGCCTTCTTTGGGCAGCAGGCTGTGCTGTCAGCTGACGTGTGGGCGGTGCTAGAGCGAGAGTCATGTGACGCGGCCGCGTTGTTACCTTTGACCTTGCTGGAGATCGTGGATCACTTCAAGGGGGGCAACCCACCCAGACGGAGGCTCAAGTGTATCATCACCGCAGGACAACCCATGAAAAAAGTAGATAGATGGTTGATAGATTGTTGATAGATTGTTGATAGATTGTTATGAGATCGTTGATAGTTGATAGATTGTTGATAGATTGTTGATAGATTGTAAAATAATTGTTGATAGATTGTAGATAGATTGCTGATAGATGGCAAATAGATTGTTGATAGATCATATAGTATAGGTGAATTGTTGATAGAAAGTGTCAGACAGATCCTTGAGTGGCTTTTTTTTCCCCTTTTTTTTTTTTGGGAAAGTGTTTTACGGCGTTCGCAACTGCATAATGTCATATGAGCGCGCGGGACACACCAAACAGTTTCAGAAGGTAGGAAATTTTGAATTTTGCCCGAGTGGCGGCCGAAGCCTATTCTTATCGATTTTAGACCACCAACGGATCTTTAACATGGGCAACTTGCACTCGAGACCTCCGAGATTTTTCGCCTTTGTCCGAGAAGGCTAGGTGTAGATCTTTCCTACCAGAAGATCAGGGGTCTGGCTGAAAGACAGCAGTAAGAATGAGGCAGGGAGTAGCAGTAGAAAAGCTACAGAAAGAGCCAGGAGCCCAGAGGAGGGGGCAAAGGTGTTGATGGGGTGGGGGCCAGAAAGTGGAGACAAGGGCAGACGACAGAACATTGTTATAGAGCAGGAAAGGAGATGAAAGGAGACAATTTTAGAGAAGAAAATGTTTTCGTCGCTTCTTGGATTCGAACCCGGGACCTTTGAATGAGAAGCGAACACCTTAACCTCTAGGCCACGAGAGTCCCCATCCGTGAGTGCAGATAGAATTGTAGATATATTGTGTAGATAGATATAGATTGTAGATAGATTGTCGATAGATTGTGCAGATATAGATTATAGATTGAAGATAGATCACAGGTTATAGAAAGATCAAAGATTGTAAATGGATCATCGATAGTAGACTATAGATAGATTAAAGATTTTAAATGGATTGTTGTAGACACATGTAGTTCATATATTGTTTTTATACAGCTCTATATATAGATAATAGAGGTAGTGATTATACAGGCTATAGATAATTATGGCACAGCAGCAG